ATGGTGTCCATATCTTCCTTTGAGAGTCCAGAGTTGTTCAACAACAAGAGTCTTCGAAGGGGCCGTGAACGCCCCTCCAAAACGCGTCGTAGTGTTGCGCCGTCCAGATCCGGACGGCTCGATAGATCTAAAGAAGCGACGAGATGCTCAGGCAAACCATGGACGATCTCGCAGACCTGATCTGCAGAGAGCATGTATCCACGAAGGTCCAATTCGGGGTCGCCACTCCTGGCTTCAATGACTTCTTGGCGATGTTTGAATGCAGCAATGATAATCACCGTAGCGTGGGCTGGTAGGTCTCGCGACTTGGCCATGTGCAACACTTCGTCTACAAGCTGCATGTTGACGAGATGGCGTGCCACCGTAGCGGCATCGTCCGGATCGTCAGATTCGATTCCAGTAGCTAACGCAGTGCGGAGGGATATGAGGGAGAGGGGGCATAGCGTGTCGGACTCTTGTGAAGTTGCGGTTTCCTCTGTCCGAGGACGTGTGCTCTCTTCGTCTCCGTCAGGTGGCGGTGTCTCTTCCCTTTGAAACATATGCGCACGCCAAACCTCTCGGAGGACTTTCTGTTTGATCAATGGTACTTCCCAGAGCTGGCATACGGCGCGACGCGTTGTGAGCGATAGTTCGTGTAATGTGTAGAAGTCATTCTTGTATTCCTCGTCCCAGTTGCCTGTTTCGTCATCTATCCCGAGTTCGACGCTACTTCCCCGTTCGGTGTTTCGGCCAGTGAGATCATCTTCATCTCTGTATTCCTTACGGATGTTGTCGCGCCACGAGTCCCTCCCGTACGTATACAGGACGTAGGACTTTGGGTCAAGCGGTTCACCGTAAGTGAGCCATCCGTTAGAGTCGGGAGTATCGATGAAGCACATCCGGGGCTTCGCAGGGTCTGTGATGTCAAAATAGGTTTGCCCCGTATCATTTGCTTTCAACCATATCAACCACGAGTAAAAATAGCGAGTATCTCCGACTCACATATAAGCTCAGGATCAATGTTGCAAGGTTCCGGATTCCAGTTTTCGAACGTAGTTTTTATTGCGGAGGTCAAGTACGGAGCCGGATAGAGGTCGTCGCAGTAGATATATTGAGGGTCTTCTAGACATTGTAACTCCCGTTTTATCATCTCCGCGTGGGGCGTCAGCACTTTGAGAATGATTTTATGCGCGATGACGACAGCCTCGCCCATGAAGAGCCATTGGTCGTGGAAAGCAGCGAGAGCACGATAACGGTCGCCAATGCGAGCTGTGAAGAAGAGCTATCGACGCCATGCAGTTAGCATGTGAAAGAGAGCAAGATACTACTGTACGTTGACCTGATGTCTGTGACCCATGTTACGGATGAAGATGCAACGTGGACTGGACTAGCTTTCTTCGAGTGGCAGGACAGCTGCAGAGGCCAGATACTCTTCCGTTGGGCCAGTAATCAAGGCGATAAGTGTCTCGGTCGAAGGAGAATCACGGGTCAAGAAGAACCGGGGTGACAAAAGCAAGCAGGCGATAATGATACCGACTCGGAAGGCTAACTCGGATCGAGTGTTGCGATCTCTGGCGATCTCGACTCGTGCTGGTGTCAGGTCGCCACCCAGAAGTTGATGATAACAAGGTGTTTGGCCCACGGTTTGTTGTGGCGGTTACGGTGGCTCCTAACTAAGCATTCCACCTCTGGACTTTGCTGTGGGGTCACGCCACCGAACAGCCCTTATAGCTCAGTGGTAGAGCGCAGCACTCGTAATGCTGAGGTCCATAGTTCGACTCTGTGTGGGGGCATTTCCTTTTTTGGTGCGTTTTCGGCGTTTTCTTTTTGGCCATCCATATCATGGGTTCCATCACACGAGCGCATTTCGGGAGCTGAGCATCTTCGTGGGTCGTGTTGTATTCTGTTGTCTTTGTAGCAACATATTGCCACGATCTGGTGATGTGCAACTGCACAAAACCACGACTTGACAGCAAAACGCCGGTTGTCCTGACGTTGTGAACGTTTTTTCCCGCATCTCAAGGCATTCGTACATCCGTTTTGGTATGCTGCAATACGTAACCCTCCAGGAAATCAGCCATCAAGTGCCACATACTGGGAGAGTCCGCGTTGCAAAGAACCACGTCCGACCTGTTCTTAGTGACAAAGACGTTTTGCGGGACAGCAGGTGAGCTTCCTACAGGTGGTGATAGGACGCTACAACGATAAGTGCTGTCGTTGTTGTTGGGAAGGGTAGATTCGCCTTACATAAAAGCCAGACATAAGAAGGGACCCCCAAACCGTGGACCCCAGACGCCTCTTCGCGTTTTGCTTTCTTTCCCTTCGCTTCACCCTCGACCCAACAACCTCCTTCACCGTCCTCTTCTCTTTCCACTCTTACATTAACAAAACCACACGTGAGTTCTCTCTCCCTCTACAACCCATCGCGGTCGACACCTTTTCCAGTTATAAAACGCGTTTCTTCTGCATGATCGAGCGTTTTTTTGCGTTCATCCAACTTGCGCGTTTTGGCGTCGTATCCCGTCCACGCCGCGCGTCCACTAGCCTCTGTTTGATGGATCGGTGTCACTGGCAGTCTAAGCTGACCCCATCTCTTTGCTACGTGGCGTTTGTTTCTGCAGGATGCGAGAGATCGTCCACCTCCAGACCGGTCAGGTATGAAATCTTAGTTCTAACCACTCAATCTCATATAGCTTAACGACTCGCCCTACCTCTTTTGCTTCATCAAACACCATTCATAGTGCGGCAACCAAATCGGTACGTTTTCTTTCACCGTTCGTACCACTTTTTTACGCGATCGTATCACATCCACTTCCCTGCTACAACACGTGTTGTTTTTTTCGGGACTCGCCGCTCACTACTTCTGTTCTTCCGACTGCAGGTGCCAAGTTCTGGGAAGTCGTCTCCGACGAGCACGGCATCGACAAGGACGGTGTGTAAGTGCCAAACCCCCTTCTGCAATGCGGGCGTTGCCGTCGCGATCACGCATCATCGTCGATCCGCAACGCAGTTTACACGACTGGCTGACGTGTATTTCGTTTACTGGACGCGTTCAACAGCTACAAGGGCACGAATGATCTCCAGCTCGAGAGGATAAGTGTCTATTACAACTCGACCGGTGGTACGTCCCTTCTCTTCTTATTTTTGCTGCTCTAGCTTACCATTCGGGTTGGGTTTCAATAGCCAACAAGTATGTGCCTCGTGCCGTCCTTGTTGATCTCGAACCCGGCACCATGGATTCCCTACGGTCTGGTCCCCTCGGTTCCCTTTTCCGGCCAGACAACTTCGTTTTTGGCCAGAGCGGCGCTGGTAACAACTGGGCAAAGGGACATTACACGGAAGGTGCCGAGTTAGTCGACTCGGTGTTGGAGGTCGTCCGCAAGGAAGCTGAAGGGTGCGATTGCCTTCAGGGTGCGTCCCGTTTACTTCAGGGTCGCTCTATCGACGATTAACATTCGCTCGCCAGGCTTCCAAATTACCCACTCTCTCGGAGGTGGTACCGGTGCAGGAATGGGAACGCTCCTCATTTCTAAGATCCGTGAAGAATTCCCTGATCGGATGATGTGCTCCTTCAGCGTCGTCCCTTCTCCTAAGGTAGGCAACACGAGAATCAGGATCTGGGACCGATGCTGATCTGTGACGTTGCCAGGTATCGGACACGGTTGTCGAGCCCTACAATGCCACTCTATCCGTCCATCAACTCGTCGAGAACTCCGATGAGACGTTCTGCATTGACAATGAGGCCCTTTGTACGTTGGTCATTTGGCATGTGTCCGAAGTCGACTAATTCTCTTGGTAGACGAAATCTGCTTCAAGACTCTCAAGCTTGCTACCCCAACTTACGGCGACTTGAACCATCTCGTTTCCATTGTTATGAGTGGCATTACCACCTGCTTGCGTTTCCCTGGTCAATTGAACTCTGACCTCCGCAAGTTGGCTGTCAACATGGGTGGGTCCGACCTGAGGATGGTGTGACTGTATTTCTGATCGTCACCGTATCCCAACAGTTCCATTCCCCCGTCTTCACTTCTTCATGGTCGGCTTCGCTCCTCTCACCGCCCGTGGTTCCCAGCAATATCGTGCTGTCACTGTTCCCGAGTTGACTCAGCAAATGTTCGATGCGAAGAACATGATGGCTGCCTCCGACCCACGACACGGCAGGTATCTCACTGTCGCCGCCTACTTCCGTGGCAAGGTGTCAATGAAGGAGATCGAGGACCAAATGCAAATCGTCCAAAACAAAAACAGCGCGTACTTCGTCGAGTGGATCCCCAACAACGTGCTCACTGCTCAGTGCGACATTGCTCCTCGTGGTCTCAAGATGTCTGTTACCTTCATTGGCAACTCGACCGCCATCCAGGAACTCTTCAAGCGTGTTGCCGACCAATTCAGCGCTATGTTCAAGCGAAAAGCCTTCTTGCATTGGTACACCCAAGAGGGTATGGACGAAATGGAGTTCACGGAAGCCGAGAGCAACATGCAAGACTTGGTTGCCGAATACCAGCAATACCAGGACGCAACGTGAGCTTGACCCGTATCTCTTCCGCCCGTGCTTTACTCACCCTCATCGTTAGTGTCGACGAAGAGGGAGAATTCGAGGAGGAGGTTCCCGTAGAGGAATAAAAGAAGGAACATATCCGGCTGTCGTCCCTTACATTACTAGATCGGATATACCTTCCAGGCGCAGTATTCTTTCCGTCCTCCCGGTTATTCTGTGACTACTCTTCATTCCACTGTCAATGATATTCTTCACGTCCTGTCATCTGGTCATTAATCTTCATTACGCTCACGACTAGTACCCCTGAGTGACAAAATCGGTCCTCACCAGACCGTGGCTGTGGCTGTAAGGACAGAACTGTAAACCGTGACGGCGACCTAAAACCCTAGACAACAACTTCCACCACCTTGTCTTATAATAACAAGTTGAAGACATGGCAAAAAATGGTCTCTACATACCTTGACAATACTGTCATATCACCAGCCTATCCAACGCCTGACCGATATATATGGCCAGACTGACTGGGCGACGTGAAACCTTTCAGCCGTCCAACCCCCGCTCACCTTCCATGTTCGCTGACTGTTTCACGGGGCCATGTGTAGTCGACCTACAAACGTGTTACATCTCGAACCGGACTAAGTGTGCACGGCTGGTTCAGTCTGACTTCATATTCTCTCGCCTTTACTTCAACCATCTTCAGAGGGAAACAACGTACCATCGGTGCCGCCCCGACCCGCTTTCGACCAATCTTTACTCTCGTTTTATACATTCTTTTTCCAAATCACTGTCGCTTATTTTATCGTGTTTCCTGACCCCGGTGTTCATCGGCTCGTAACTTATTCTGACTATGCACGCTCTCTACGACATCGTGCTACCGTTTCTCGTTCTGGCTTCCGGAATCGCGGAGGG